ATATTTTGGTCCTTATATTAAAACGCCAGTTTGGGGGAATCAGCTCGCTTGGCAAGAGGTCTGCCCATACCAACCCACACACAACACAACACCTGAGTAAATAAACAAGGAGTTTATTACACAGCAGTCACTGAACGATTTGTGACTGTGTGTTGTCCCTGTTTTATACCTATTCCAGTTATCATAGATAATCCCATTTACTGATACACTGACGATAAAGTTGTTGTTGTGAACTTCAGTTGCTATATCTAAATCCAATTGCCTAACTCGACTGACGATACGGTGCCAACTGCGCACTTAAGCTATTCTATCTTGACCGGATTATATGATAATTTTCATAAACGTATTGAAGACATCGGTGTTGATGGGTGAAGTTCACAGTGAATTTGATTAGCTTATTGCTATCTGCAGACCCGTACCAGATACTGGTTTCGGATGTTCGTTATCAATGTGACCCTTGGCAGCTTGAAGATTGTGAACCGTGGTCAGTTAATCTGTACATGTCCAGTTTTCAATAATATATACTGTCATAAATAATGGTAAAACTTTGTCCAGTCTTACCGTGTTAATACATATGAGAGGAACTGACGAAAGCTGTTATTGTCAACGATGGGGAAGTCAACCATGACCTACAGATTATGGATTGTGTGATGAGTCTTGGCAGCCACGAGAACATTCTACAGACATACACGTTCAGTCATAGGATGTTTGTCAGCAACCCTTAACTTTGTTTTTTCCATAACTATTTATATTTCTTTATCCTCTATTATATTTAATATAACATACAACTGATTTGAATTAAAGGTTAATGGTCATAGCTTCATGTATGAGGTAAATGTACTATTCCCTGATTTTTTAGATCAGCCTTAGATTAATATAAGTCTGCATTGTTGTCAAATCCAGCTTTGAGCTTTGAGATACGAAGCATTTTCCATAGTCATAAGATTTTTTTTACAAACATAGGACATTTTGCAGTTGCGACTGTCGCAAGGCTATGAATTACTGTCAAATATAGCGATAAATCCCTCATACTCGTATCAATTGCAAATGTATTATATTCTGCCATCAACTTACACATAATCAGGCAGAAAGTGCTTATATGGTGCCCAAGACAGGGTATTGTACTTTTTTATAGATTTTTGGTAAGTTGTTTTTTGTTTGTTTGATTGTTTGTTTGTTTTTGTTTTGTTCTTTTCTTTTCTTTTCCTTTTAAGAGCAGTTATTCTAAATGCCTACCAACACACAAATATGTCCTGCAACGTTCTTGGCCCTATTAATGTATGTCAGTGACTCCGGCATCTCTTGGTCCAGTAACACAAGAACCAAGCGTCCCAGTCCCAGGCGTTATGTTACAAGCCTGTATGTGTTCATTCCGAGTGTTGTGTACATGTGTACTTACAGGCAAGTGGACATTGCCAGGATCGCGTTTCACGATCTCAGCAAAGTGGCAAAGGGTACCGGACTTTGACCTGAATACAGTTTTCACCTTTTGACATGGCTGATTTCCACAGCGTGGTTTCTGGACGGAATTGATTGATTGTTGTTTTACTCTGCACTCAGCAATAATTCCAGCTACATGGCGGTGGTCTGTAAATAATCGAGCATGGACCAGACAATCAAGTGAACACCGATCTACGCAGTTGGGATACGACGAAATGTGTCAACCAAGTCAGCGAGCTTGACCACCCGACCCCGTTAGTAGCCTTTTATGACTGACTGACTGAGTTTCGTTTTACGCCCGTTTAGCAATATTCCAGCAATATCACGGCGGGGGACACCAGAAATGGGCTTCACACATTGTGCCGATGTGGGCAATCGAAACCGGGTCTTCGGCACGACGAGCCAACGCTTTAACCACTAGGCTACCCCACCGCCCCGCCTCTTATGACAAGCATGTGGATGCTGAAGACCAATTCTAACCCGGATCTTCACGTGTTTCTGGACGGGAACTGTTAGAACCAACTAAGACTCTGTTTAGGTTTTACGGCCTGCCTGTAACATGAGACAAACAGTTTGTTCAAGATTCGTGTTACTTCCTTACAATCCTTGGGATCTTTACTGGTCGTATCCTTCGTTACATAAGCATCCGAGTACAGTTAAAGTTTAAGAAACCTCCGAACCAACACCAAAAGACAACCTAGCCATAAAATGACCCTCTCCTGCCTCCAATCGCCTTGTTTCTTCCAGTTGTGAGTGTCATAGGTCCCCACCAATTGTAACACTGCGAACAAAGTAAGTGGTTCTTGTTTGATAATATGTCACCGTACCCCATCGACTATTTGCTCATGATATCAATCATTTGATTTTCTGGTTCATTATTGATCCAGCAAAGGGCACCACCCATGTCAATACTTTGGAGTCGCTACATATATCCGTTGGCATTCAACAAGAACAAATTAAACAAATGATAATTGAGTTCATCACTTGTCAAGATTGTCAACATATTTTATGTTACACGCACGTAGGCCGAGGCTGTAACCTGTGACCTATTCATTCTCACTATTTGGTTGAATCAAGTTCCTTGATTATGGTCATCTAGAGCTGTCTATGGTTTTGCTTGAAGACGATATGGAACAGAAAGACCTATTTGTTGTTCTGTGATGTTTTACAATACTAAGACAAAGAGAATCTCACCCAAGTGTCTACTGATATCAATTATATCAACACGAGTTGATAAAGTTACAAATATCCGAGTCTTGCCGAGGATATTTTTACTTGTATCAACGAGTGTTGATATATTTGATATCGGAAGACACGAGGGTGAGATTCTATTTATCATCAAAAATCACTCTTCATTAATTTTCAATGAAAAAAAGGAAATCTCTGAACATGGTACGGCAATTAGATTTGCAGTGCAGCGATGTCATAGCATTGTGACGTCATCAAGTTCATGACGTCATAGCATTGTCAGGGCATTGTACAAAATCTACTGTCAAAACGATATCTCCTAGGAGATATCGTCTGATCTCACACAAGCGATATCTCCTGTGGAACACAGTTTTGGATGATAAATCAATTTACTGTGTCAAAGAAATTATTATGGACAAAGATATCTTAAAAACACATTATAACCTTTCAATGAAAAAAACCCAGAATATTCAACAGAAAAAGAAATGTTAAAACGAGTTAAAAGCAATACATGTACATGTATTTGATTTCAGAATATTGTTCTTCAGGCCAGCAGATGTCCTCACATTTGTCTGAATAAGTCGCATACCCTAATTTCTTCCCGTGCACTGGATATTATAAGTTGTACACTGGTCCCCAAGGGGTACATGGGTTCCCTCTGTTGGTGGTGGGGGTGGTGATATGGTTTTAGGGCGACTTGGACCAGAAGTAGGGGCTATTTGCACCAACACATTATAGTCTGTTTGCGGTGAAAACGTACCGATGAATTTCACTTTAGACAAAATTGTAAATCAAATAAAGAGAAATTAAGATTGCGAATCCTCATAATTTTACCTTGCCATTTCAAAATATTAATCTCAGATTTTATTCAACTTAGGATAAAAGTTGTTTAAGAAACGATCATAGTTTCAAATCGGTATTATTGGTTTGTATTACAAGGGGGTATGCACATTCAATGAAACACCGAGAACAAAGAGGGTTGGTCTAAGTTAACGCTCATCACGTACAGCACGTGAATTTGTTTCACTGTTCCAACTACTGCGCTTATCCCCTTGTAATACAGACTAATATAAGCGATTTGAAACAATGATCGTTTGTTAAACAGCTTTTTTCCTACGTTGAATAAAAATCTAAGATTTAATTTTTAAATTGGCAAGGTAGAATTATGAGGATTCGCAATCTTAATTTCACTGTATTCGATTTACATTTTTGTTTAAAGTGAAATTCACCGGTACGTTTTCACTGCAAACAGACTATAATTGAAGTTGAACTATCATAAATATAAGTAGGCTTACTGCAAATGTTTATATTTACCATGCAAAAAAATGTATTCACTATCTAAATATTTGATGAAATGACAGGATCTTCTGCTTAATGAAATGTATTAAAACATCAAGCAACCAATTTTTGGTTTGGAATAAAACAGCAAAGAAAACACACTTAAATATTATGCTCGTTCAATAAAAATGCAGAAAATCAAACCGAAAAAGAAATGTTAAAACAATACATATATTTCGTTTAATGTTTCTACTGGACGACATATGCTTAAATTGTCGTTTTGCCTGATGCGGTAACGTTTTGTTTATGTACCCTGAGCCAATAGTTGCCTCCCTTGGGCTGTAATAATACCGTTGTGAACTTCAGAGATTCGATATATTTGATTATAAATATGAATGCAATGGCAGACACAGTTTTATTGGTTATTTCTCGCGTATTTTACATGTACCATACTTCTTAACTGAACTTCAAGAACTCCGGGTGCTTTCATATTACATGTTATGACAGAGTTGTATTTTTAGAATCAGGTGCTCCTTGACTTGTTTTGAGCAGTATCTGTTTCGCGTGTTAAGTGTCCTGTGATTGTTTGTATCGAGAATTAGAAATTTACTGTTATAACATACTGCCACTAGCATTATGCAAGGTAATACTTAAAGGAGTACGCCATGTCTGGAGTTATTACGTGAAAACAACGCCTCGTCGTACAATCTGTGTTTGCTTTCAAAATATGGCAAATGTGAAGTGGGCGGAAAGATGTGTTCGTTGCAGCGGTTCAGTCGGGAAAGATGGTTTGAGTTCCATTTTCTATTTAACCCACGGTTACAGTAACGGCGTCGTCTTCCCTAACAGGAGCGGTAGGGTAGCCCAGTGGTTCAAGCGATCGCTCGTCACACCAAAGACCCACGTTCGACTCCCCACATAGGTACAAGTTCTGAAGCCCATTCCTGGTGATCCCCGCCGTGATATTTTTAGAATGTTGCTAAAACCGGAGTAAATGTAAAGCTACTCTCTCACAGTCATTCCCTGACAGTAAGGATGGTTGCAAAGTGCGGCGTAAAACCAAACTCACTCAACTGAATGCTATAACCACGTACCTGTATCATTATCATGTTTGTCTTCGTGTGGAAGCTCCCTCTTCATCCTTCTCTTCATCTTGTTGTAGAGGAAGAAGGACTCTGTCTCCAGCACCACCCCCAGAATCACCATCAGACCGAGAACAACGCCTGTTCTCCACATCTTGTCACGGCTCGAAGAACCCAGACCAAGAGAAAACTGTGGAACCAAATAACTCCTCAAAGCAACGGCAGTTAGCAAGAGACCTTGTCCAAGACCCAAGACCCACATCTCCGGAACTATATATACAACGTCTGTTATCTGAGACGGTGTCGGGTGTCACTGCAAGAGATTATTCTACTACGACCGTAAAGACAATTACTCTACACATTAATTGTGTTGTACGTATTGTTTTGACAGGGTTTTGAACCAAGGCGTCTTAAATATGTGTGGTACAGCATATTAATTCAGCGAAATGACCTGCGACATTTTCAATTGTAGTAATTACCGAACATGCATTGACCGATGATGTTTCTGCTGTCGTTGTATGGGTACTGCCATGGAAAGGATTGTATCAAGCAGACTGTTTCCGAATTTTTAGTCTTAATGCCCTGAACATATGGATTTGACTTCTATATTGTTCTAATAAATGGACCCATAGATTCCATCTTTTCTGTGGTCCAATACATTGAGAAAAAAGACATCGACGTTGAATCACTTCACGGAAGCAAAGGGGTGAGGTGATTCTAATTCCAGATTCAACAGATTCGAGTAATTAAAAAACAACGTCAAAACTGTCATCAGTCATAACAAATCTCCATTAATGGAACGGCCGATTGTACGAGTTTGTGGCTCTCATAAGTATGTGTTTAAAAGTCACTATCAAATGTATCGATGATTCCAGGTGTTTGCGAAATGGTGACGGTACATTTCCCGACCAGTTCAAAAACAAAGGCAAGTCAATTACTCACACAATAAAGCACGAAAGCAAGTGCTACTACTCGTCTCCAATCTGTTCCCATATTCCTTTGAAAAGCATAATTACCTGAAGTGTTGTAACCTTGATCCAATACGTTTTGAGCAAGCATTTTATGACATTCTTTCAAACCTTCGACAAAGGGCTGGAGCACACCTGTAAAATATAAACAACATAGGCTGGAGCTGTGAGAATGTTGCTCGACAATGTTGAAAATATCTTTTCGATATTTTTGCTAAAAATATATATGGTTGCATCGGTAACACAAAATGCAAAAATTCCTGACTCCGATTGAATTCCACTGACAATAACATGACGTCAGGATAGGAAACCTATATCCCTGTAGCGAGATGAAAAATGGCACCTTTAATGACCTTACCAATAGTTTCTATTAGCATAAATAAGTAGACTCCCCTATCATGTTGCATCTTGCATACAGACTAGGTATCACCTGATACGATAGGTATTATATTTCCAGCCAATCTGAACATTCTCTGCCCATGTTGTTCCCCATAAAGCGTTGCGGTGTCATCACTGAGTTTCGGTGATTTATTCATTTTTCTTCCACCCTTATACATTCTAAATAAATTAGAATTTTTATTCTGTTACTAGTCTCATGTTTCTCCTTGTCATCTCGTGACTGTCTCGCCCATTTGGTTGGTTGATTGATGTTATCGTTCATGCCGTCAATCAATGGTTATCTGGTCCAGTTCCTATTATTTACGGACAATCATGGCATAGCTTGAATAATACCGAGTTTGGTAAACAACAAACAACCAATGTTTACCAAATTCCTTGTTGACCTGTTTATTCTTGTAAGCTATTCCCCACGATAACACAATGGACAAACAAGCACAAATCTACTTCTGTACAGAGAGTTTTATGCAACCATGCAAATCTCTCTAATGAAATTTTCTAATATCAACATCCTCATTTAGCATAGTGTGTGTGGTTCTACAGCAACACTGTAATTGTTTTGACTACATTTTTAGGTCAAAGACAGTTCGGTCATGGTCCCCTTTTAAGCATGTGTTAAAAACGCTCCATGTCTTGACATTACCGTCTTCGTCAACACCGAGGACAGTGCCCTATGTGGTCGCATGTTTGGAACTGTGTTAATACTACCATCGTAACATTAGTTCAAGATAGGCCACGGTGTTCGTTGTAAATATAATGTTGTTTTACTTAGGCGGAATAACAACCAAAACCATCACATAAAGTGAGAAATATTTAAACAGGGTTGAGAACTCAATTGATGTGTTAAGAAAGAAGGCACTTTAAGCATGCATGAGTTTAGGTGAGTTTGTAATGAGAGTACGAAATGAGTACACATTTATTTCCGACAGGTTTACTTTGAAGTTTTAAAGTGCAAGTTTCGAGCCAATATTTGAAAGTGAACGCGTGTATTTCACTCTTCAAAGTAACGGTTCTTTGGACAAACAAAACAAATACGTTTAAAAGATGTGAGTTAGAAGGTGTTTTAGCTTTACTATTTATATCTCTTATAAGTTTCGAATACCGTAAGAAGTGAAATAATACATTTTTTTCATTTGTTTCGTTCGCTGAGTACATTTCTGAAATTTTCTAAAATGTATATTATTATACTAAGATTGCTACTAAATACTAAACCCAATATCAATTAAACGAATCCAACTCTATTACAAGTATGTGTGTGTGATATGTTATAAAAATTATAATTCTGGTGATGTCATGAACCAGGTGTGAGCATGTCCTACCAAACTAAGTGGCTAAAGTGAGTAGATGAGCTAGTAAACGATTAAGTGATTACTGACTGACTGACTGAGTTTAGTTTTACGCCGCTTTTAGCAATATTCCAGCAATATCACGGCGGGGGACACCAGAAATGGGCTTAACACATTGTGCCCATGTGGGGAATCGAACCCGGGCCTTCGGCGTTTTAACGCTTTAACCACTAGGCTACCCCACCGCCCCGAATAAGTGATTAGGGGAGAGGGCATGCGATTAAGTGAGAATTGAGTTAGTCGGCAACTATGTGAGTAGGTGAGTTAGTAGATGCCTAAGTGTGTAGGTGAGGTAGTAGGCAACTATATGTTAGGTTGGTTAGTATTCAATTAAGTGAGTTAGTAAACGGCTAAGTGATCAGGTGAGTTAACAGGTGACTAACTAGGTGAGACAGAAGGTGACTTAGCGAAGAATTTAGTTACTAGGCAACCATGTGAGTAGGTGAGAGAATTATCCCTAAGTGAGTAGATGAGTTAGTAAGTGACTTAGTGAGTATGTGAGATAATTATCCCTAAGTGAGTAGATGAGTTAGTAAGTGACTTAGTGAGTTGGTGATAGAATTATCCCTAAGTGAGTAGGTGAGTTAGTAAGTGACTTAGTGAGTAGGTGAGAGAATTATCTCTGTGTGGTAGGTGAGTTAGTAAGTGACTTAGTGAGTAGGTGAGAGAATTATCCCTAAGTGGGTAGATGAGTTAGTAAGTGACATAGTGAGTAGGTGAGTGAATTATCCCTAAGTGGGTAGATGAGTTAGTAAGTGACTTAGTGAGTAGGTGAGAGAAGTATCCCTAAGTGAGTAGTTGAGTTAGTAAGTGACTTAATGAGTAGGTGAGAGAATTATCCCTAAGTGGGTAGATGAGTTAGTAAGTGACTTTGTGAGAAGGTGAGAGAATTATCCCTAATTGAGTAGATGAGTTAGTAAGTGACTTAGTGAGTATGTGAGAGAAGTATCCCTAAGTGAGTAGATGAGTTAGTAAGTGACTTAGTGAGTTGGTGAGAGAAGTATCCCTAAGTGAGTAGATGAGTTAGTAAGTGACTTAGTGAGTTGGTGAGAGAATTATCCCTAAGTGAGTAGATGAGTTAGTAAGTGACTTAGTGAGTTGGTGAGAGAATTATCCCTAAGTGAGTAGATGAGTTAGTAAGTGACTTAGTGAGTAGGTGAGAGAATTATCCCTAAGTGGGTAGATGAGTTAGTAAGTGACTTAGTGAGTAGGTGAGAGAATTATCCCTAAGTGGGTAGATGAGTTAGTAAGTGACTTAGTGAGTAGGTGAGAGAATTATCCCTAAGTGAGTAGATGAGTTAGTAAGTGACTTAGTGAGTAGGTGAGAGAATTATCCCTAAGTGGGTAGATGGAGTTAGTAAGTGACTTAGTGAGTAGGTGAGAGAATTATCCCTAAGTGGGTAGATGAGTTAGTAAGTGACTTAGTGAGTTGGTGAGAGAATTATCCCTAAGTGAGTAGATGAGTTAGTAAGTGACTTAGTGAGTAGGTGAGAGAATTATCCCTAAGTGGGTAGATGAGTTAGTAAGTGACTTAGTGAGTTGGTGAGAGAATTATCCCTAAGTGGGTAGATGAGTTAGTAAGTGACTTAGTGAGTTGGTGAGAGAATTATCCCTAAGTGAGTAGATGAGTTAGTAAGTGACTTAGTGAGTAGGTGAGAGAATTATCCCTAAGTGGGTAGATGAGTTAGTAAGTGACTTAGTGAGTTGGTGAGAGAAGTATCCCTAAGTGGGTAGATGAGTTAGTAAGTGACTTAGTGAGTAGGTGAGAGAATTATCCCTAAGTGGGTAGATGAGTTAGTAAGTGACTTAGTGAGTTGGTGAGAGAAGTATCCCTAAGTGGGTAGATGAGTTAGTAAGTGACTTAGTGAGTTGGTGAGTATGAGTGAAGTATCCCTAAGTGAAGTGAGAGTGAGTAGATGAGTTAGTAAGTGACTTAGTGAGTAGGTGAGAGAAGTATCCCTAAGTGGGTAGATGAGTTAGTAAGTGACTTAGTGAGTTGGTGAGAGAAGTATCCCTAAGTGAGTAGATGAGTTAGTAAGTGACTTAGTGAGTAGGTGAGAGAATTATCCCTAAGTGGGTAGATGAGTTAGTAAGTGACTTAGTGAGTAGGTGAGAGAATTATCCCTAAGTGGGTAGATGGGTTAGTAAGTGACGTAGTGAGTTGGTGAGAGAATTATCCCTAAGTGAGTAGGTGAGTTAGTAAGTGACTTAGTGAGAAGATGAGTTAGTAAGTGACTTAGTGAGTTGGTGAGAGAATTATCCCTAAGTGGGTAGATGAGTTAGTAAGTGACTTAGTGAGTAGATGAGTTAGTAAGTGACTTAGTGAGTTGTGAGAGAAGTATCCCTAAGTGAGTAGGTGAGTTAGTAAGTGACTTAGTGAGTAGGTGAGAGAATTATCCCTAAGTGGGTAGATGAGTTAGTAAGTGACTTAGTGAGTAGGTGAGAGAATTATCCCTAAGTAGTAGATGAGTTAGTAAGTGACTTAGTGAGTAGGTGAGAGAAGTATCCCTAAGTGGGTAGATGAGTTAGTAAGTGA